CTTGAAAATTATATGAATGGATCACTGAAAAACAACAGATAAAGTTTAACATGCCATTGTAAAAGTTCAAATAAAATACAACAAGAGCCTTTATTATTTCTTGTCATCTAACTTATAATTAGACAAGGCACGTAATGGATGCTAAATCATGCTGCATGTTTAGGTACATGTATATCAACATGTTAGAAATAAATTGTATCAATTTACCTTCTTTTTCTGCTGCATTGTCCAAATCTGGAAGGTAAAATGTCACTTTGGAAATGAAATACGACGCTTGTGCGTGCTGATTGGCGTATATCGTCAAAATAATGTCAACCTATTATATTGTATTCAATTTCTTCATATGGACGGTGGAGTACCCTAGTGGTTAAACGCTTGCTGGTCACGCTGAAGACCCGGGTTCGATTCCCACATGTGAAGCCTATTTCTGGTGTCCCTCGCCGCAATATTGCTGGAATATTGATGAAAGCGGCGTAAAACCATACTCACTCACTCACTTCCCAATAAACGTCATACATGATCATGTCATAGAATGCCACTTATAAGTTCTTACCTGAAAGATGCAGGCGGCCAAACTTGTCATGACGTATTTCACCATACGAAATGTCTGTGTACAGTTTTCCTTTGATTGCTTCTGTCATTTTCCTGTTTGTATGTTCATTGTGAAAATGTAGAAGCAATCGCAGGACAAACATGTAGTTTCCCGGCGACATCGCATCTAGAAAGTAGTTGTTCCGGTTCATTTCCCTGTGCAGCTGCTCTTCAACTTGTGAATTTATTGAGCCCTTCATTTCGGGAACAAACGTTATACGCCTTAGGAGTTCCTCATCTGATTTTGTATTCCCTTCATGAAACCTATCCAGCAAACAGAACGTTTCATTTGAGGTTGGCAAATCATAGTCGGAGACTGGTGCTACTGTCACCCATTCCTTCATGCAAGGTATACTCTTTGAAAATACCCCCTCCTTAGCTTTTTTTATGTTGTCTGCAGTCGCTTCACCCAAGCGTCCTTCGTTGGGCGAGAACATGTTCTTCCGCCGCTTGTTACCATGGCGTGACATCATTGGGGCTACGTCACTAATGATGACTGGCGGTTGTCTTGACATAGATAGAATGATGTCGACATGGTCTCTGACACTTTCAGGCCTCAGAATAGCTTTGAATGCGTACACTATTCTATGGGGGCAGGACGCTGATACCCATCCACCTGAATGAACATTAACATAGTGATGGGACACATTTGGTTTAACCTTGCTTTTAATAGTATACTATATACTCCAGTAGTCAGATTGTGGAGTTTCAAGTTACAAAATGACATTCCATTAACAGACTCAGTGCTGATTCTTATGCAGAGGGGGCTGGGGATGGCCTATCTTGAAGACATTTAACGAAAATAATATTACCAAGCAAAAGCAATTGTGTTACAAAGTAAGTAGTTATTTTGCATCATTTAGTCTGGCACTTGAATGTGGGAACACACACTATATATGTTTTATTCATCATTTTAAATGCAATAGTAGGCATAATTACCAGAATGGCCCCATATGCTTGAAAATAACTTGTTGAAGGTTGATTTGCTTTTCAACTTTTCCTTCAAGCTGTTGATCATCTCTAATTTGGTCCCTTTGGCGTCTACTTCCATCTTTGTACACCAGTGCCGTACATCCAGATCCTACATGATATGATATAGAAAATGTCGAAAACATGAGTGACTATGCTTATCATATCATATCATATCATATCTCAATTTGTAATATTACTACCTACGCATATCAAGATTGCAAGAATTGTACAAATGTGCCTAGTTGATATCAATAAGGCCTTTCGATTATGTCATATTTACCTTCTTTTCACATAACATTTGGATCAGGAAATCTTCAGTCAGTTCCTTATCCCCTGTATCAAAATCTGTATCTCGAAGATGGGTTCTGAGAGATCGAACTTTTTCAGCTTCAGTGTTGAAAGCATTTTCATCTTTTCTGGCTAATCCAATGAAAGGAGCCCAGTTGTCATAACTAGGTGTAACACGCCCGACGTTGGCTGCTTCTGTCAGGGAATGAAATGATAAATACATTATAGTGTATATAAACAATATCCTTACAGTAACTTTAATTTTAGTTCCCCCCCCCCCCCCCCTCTCTCTCTCTCTCTCTCTCTCTCTCTCTCTCTCTCACTCACTCACTCTCTCTCTCTCTCTCTCTCTCTCTCTCTCTCTCTCTCTCTCTCTCACACACACACACACACACAGACAAGATGAGTCATTTATAATACAATATGAGGATTTGCACCTTTTCCAAAACCCCGAAGTAAAATAGACGCCTCCACCGTTTGGCTCCAAAACACATCCATGTTGATTCCATCTGTAGCTGTTTCTGTCCCTGGTACTTGTGACACTGTAAGCAATACATGTTTACCATAAGAGACGAGAGAACAGGGATTAGGAAACATCATTATGGGATATTGTTTGTGACCAACCATGAGATAATGGACCTTACATTTTTGCTTTCCATTTTTACATTTTGAAACTACATCGTTAATGCGCTTATACATTTCTTAGACACTGGAAATTATAAATTAGACTTACATGCTAATGGAAATGCACATTTCCTATTTGCATCTGTCACCAGGCAACATGGAAAACGGCCACAGATGTCACAGGTAAAGTTGTACTTGTGATCGCACATTGCCTCAAAGTGCAGATATCCCTGTAACATTTTGTCTCCGGGAAAATGTAAGCCGGAATCTTCTGATAAGATATCGGCAGCCCTTCCAACGGCTGTATGATTCTGAAACCATTAAGCAGGCGAAATTGATCACATTCATTATGCCGATATTTTAAACTAATCCTAAGTTAACAGTCAAAAGTGTTTAAAGTCCGAATGTCACCGGCCCACATCAAGTGCATATATCAACAAACAATGCGCCATACAACAATCAGATATCACGATCACATAAATATGCAAAGTGTTGTTTTGGAGAAGGGAGTCGTCCATAAACTAACTAAATTAGGTATAATGTACCTTCAAGTTAACTCTGAACCAGTGGCACAGGCGAACTGACAGGAACACGTGGTCGTCAAAATTGTGTATACCATCCCTGTGCTCTTGGTACCTGTAGAAGTGACCGCACGCTTTGCACTTCTTTATGATAACTGATTGCAAATGGTGGCACTGATAAATACCTACATTGCCCCTTGCTGCAACACCCAAAGCTAAATTGCAATTTTCATGTTCACATTGTATCTGCTGTGTGACAGTGTTCATTTGTACATGAAGTGGGTAATCTGGACCGATACTGGACTTGCTGATCATGTAGAGACCGCGGTGTTTATCAACGCATATTCCACGTTGGTATGACTTGGTTTTCACTTCATCTCGTGCATTGTGTGTCTCAATATGTCTTTTAATGTTTTTCTTAGAGATCATTGCATTGCAGACAAAACATGTCACTTTCGGAACTTGCTCTCTCTTCACTTTTTGGATTTTAGGGGACTCTGCTGAAGTTCTTTCCTCAGAAGCTGTCTGGTTTGTTGTCAGAACAAAAGGGCAAACCGTGGTCGTGAGTCGGACAAATGTGAACTTTCTCCGGAAGAGTTTACCACACGGGCAGTGGTAATGGCACCGGTCTTGTTTCGGAGTACAATCCAAAAAGCAGCTTAACACCCATAAATCTGCAAGGACACAAATACGGATTATTATACCGGACCGCCTCCGTGGTCTAGTGGTAGAACGTCCGCCCGGTGAGCGGAAGGTCCGGGGTTCGATCCCCGGCCGCGTCATACCAAAAGATGGTACTTGTTGTTAACATGTCTGGCGCTCGGCATTAAGGTGCTTAAACAAGGACTGGTCGGCTCGGAGTCAGTATGCTGTCTCTGTGTGGGGTATTCATGTTAAACTGTGGCATGGCATCTCAGTGAGCTAGCACTATAAAACGGCATCAGTCCGGACCAGTACAAGCAGCCACTCACACAAACACGAGCATGCACGTCGCTAAATAGTGCAATAATCTTCGAGGCGACGTTAAACCCCATTTTACCTCACCTCACCTCACTATTATACCAGATAAAATGGTGCGTTGGGCTTGTGAGGTTGTGTAATGGACACCGTTTTACACGTATGCGTAATGCCACGTATACGCTAGGTACATACCACGCAATATTAGATTAATAACAAACACCAATTTATACATACCCCCAACTTTGACGGCATGTTGTGTGTGCTTGTTGATGTGTCCTTCCTTGACATTGTACCGTCGTGACGTTGATTCTGGACACAGTTTGCACTGGAATATTCCATCAACTTTAGCCAGTAAACTCTTACATGTGCCGAGCTCTTTTGTGTGCCATATGTCTTCATTCTGTAGACAAAGGTAGAAAGTGTAAAATCAACAAGTTTTCAAAAGAAGTCCTATTTTTCTATTGCTTGAGACTCCCGGACACTGAGTGGTGTAAAGCCACTTACATTTATGAGTACTAAATGAAACATAACGCGTCGATATCCATTATCTTCGCCGTGCATTTATGAAAACCTGTAACCAACTGAAGGTAGGGTGCTACAATGTCTAGGTTACATGGCCACTGTAGATAATAATACTCACGTTTGTTTCACAACGTCCATGCCTGGAAGAAATAAAATAATGACAATATATAAACATTTGAAGAAATGTGTACAACCATTAGAATCCTTAAATTTAGGTTAACACTGTTACCAGTTTTTAGCACAAGGTGTAGGCAGTTTAAACTAGAACCAATGTCTTTATAACTAGGAATATATGCTCTTGGTTTATGTATATCACAATTCCATTAACGAGTTTCAGCCATCTCTTTCTATAACCTTATATAGTACGAACAATATAGTTAACATATACCATTACTTTCTTATTTGTGTGTTAGTGAGTGAATGAGTGCGTGCGTTCGTGTGTTCGTGTGTTCGTGTGTACGTGTGTGTGTCTATGCAAACGTCTCAATTGAAATAGCCTGAAAACTTAGTGGCACATCTGTGAAGCTCACATGTTTCGCATAGAAAAGGTTTAATATACGGGTTTGAAATATTATAAATATTATTATCTCTTTCCTTTACCATTTAGGCATAAAATAACTTTAAAACAGTCGCTCTATACCCCCTTTTAGAAACTATATTGCTTCCCTTTACTACATGGGGTTGTCTATGCAAACGTTCTTATGGACATAGCCTGAAAACTAAGTGGCACATCTGGGAGCCTCGCATTTTTCGCATCGAAGTAGTTTAAAATACGTATTTGAAATACTATTTTCTCCTTCCTTAACTGTTTAGGCATAAATAACGTAAATGTATTCGCTCTACACCCCGTTTGGAACGCTAAAATACGGGTTTAAAATAGTATTAGTTCTTTTCACATTCATTTAGGCATCAAATAACTTAAAAAGAGTTGTTTAAAAACGCACTTTGGGAAGATATATGGCTTCGCTTTGACACGATCATCGATCCCGATTGCGTGAAGAGATGCGCATCATATTAAATACTGGATTGTCTGGTCCAGACTCGATTATTTACAGACCGCCGTCAAATAGCTCGAATATTGCTGAGTGCAGCGTTAAACAACCAAACAACCAACCAACCCAACCAACACGAGGGGCTGTCTATGCAAACGTCCCTTTGGAAATGCCCTGAAAACGTAGTGGCACATATGGGAGCCTCGCATTTCTTGCATGCAAATAGTTTACAATACGTGTTTGAAATACAATGTTCACCTTCCTTAACTAGTTAGGCATAAAAAAACGTAAACGGAATCGTTCTGTGTCCCGTTTGGAAAACTATATTTGAAATACTATTTTCTCCTTCCTTAACTATTTAGGTATAAACAAACGTAAAAGGAGTCTCTCAATACCCCCTTTGGAACACTATATGGCTTTCCTTTAACACGGGGGAGATTATCTACACAACATCCCTTTGGAAATAGCCTGAAAACTTAGTGGCAAATCCAGGAGCATGGAAATAGTTTCAAATGCGGGTATGCAGCATTATTATCTCCTTCCTTCCATAAGAATGTTTAATGACATAACAAAACAAAACATAACATAACATAACATAACATAACATAACATAACATAACATAACATAACATGAGAAAAAGTAATATTCAAATGAATGTATTTTACATAAAAAGAACAATAGATACTCATTTCCACTGCGCATATGATAAAGACTAAACCTAAACGCCCTTCACCCTACCGTCATTCAATACGTATTGTCCCCGACATGAAAGATACGTGGAGTGCTCTTCTTTATGAAATTTTAATATTTTACGTTTCACATGCGAGCACATACTAATCGAAAACCATTTGAAACCCATTAAACAAAACTCTGGACATATTATACCCGCAAACATGGAGAAAAGAAACGCCTCTATTTTAATAAATTACTAAAAACTAACACGTGACAATGTACATGTTTCCCAAAGTGGCATTTTGAAAGCAAATCCTGCTTCCTTTCAACGTTGCACGAAAACTTAAAAAAATAGTACGTACCTTGCAAGAAATATTTTTTTGGACATCATCCAGTCTTGAAAGTTACATAGCCCTGTTTGTGAGTTCTCAGCGCTCTGTAAATATCTGAGTCTTATTGAGAGTCTGTTGTGAGATGCCCTGGGTGTGTTAAAGGCTGACCACGGCCTAAGTTTCAAAAATCTGTAGCTAGCTGGTGTTAGCACTTTTATCATGAGGCAGGATGTTCCTTGTTTATATGTATCAGTTAGCCCTGTCAACTTCATGAACCTCATTCTTACAGAATGTCAACCGCATGCCCCATTCTGGGTTTCAGGTAGTATGTGCTTATCTTTTAGGATCTCACAGAAGCACTAAATGTGTTATCCAGTTATTGCTGTGACATTTCTAACTCCCTAGAAACTCCTCTGGAATCTGGAACTTGCCACAGAATGTATCACGTCACAATAAACAAACAAGTCCCCTAACAGACCCTAAAAGGAAAGAGTCTAGAGAGTCTAGACTTCTTGTTTCCAAAAATGAAGATATTCATTCTGGATTAAGAAAGGGCTACCGAACATCAAGTAATGTATTTGTTCATAAAATATTTATTTAATAGTTTTAACAAAAAGTAAAAAGAAAAATGTATACACTTCCTTTGTAGACTTTCAAAAGGCCTCTGATTCAGTTGACAGAGCACTACCCCTAACAAAGCTATTTCACATAAAATGTCAGGAAATAGTTCTTATAAAGTGAAAATTGACGGGGCATTTCACAATCCTTTAAATCCAACATCGGCATAAGACATGGGTGCATTTTGTCTCCCAGATTATTTAATATATTCCACAATGATCGTCCACCACATATCAAACAAGAAAATAACAAAATAACACTTAATGCTTTAAACATTTGTCATTTGTTGTTTGCCGATGACTTTGTACTTTTTGCCACTTCCAAAAATTCTGCACGAGTTATTTGATGGTCTAAGAGTATTTCGTGTAACAAATAACCTAAAGATTAAAGGTGAAAAAACAAATGTTGCAGTGTTTGGCAAATCAAGTAAAATAGAAGAAACGAATACTTGGACCTTGGTTGGTGCAAAAATTCTAGTTATGGATAGATATAATTATTTATGAATAACATTTGAAGCAAATGATAAACTTAATAATAGCGCCAAACCTCCCTTGAAATAGGGTCTAGGTACTACCATAAGCTTCAGTCTACCAATAATCTACCCAAATCTGGGGTATAGACGCAACACCCCTAGTCTGAACAACTTTGATTAATTAATCCCCGAGAAACTGCGGCGCCGATGTTGTATATCCATGTTAGGTGTCAACAAAACAACACACAATTGGGCAAGGCGAGCAGAACTAGGATTCTATACTCTTATGTACACAGTACTAATATAAATTACGAATTGCTATCACTATGGTGGTTCTTCAACATAGTGAAATTCTGCTTTACCCACTAGGCTCCCCGACCGCCCCGTTCCATGTGATAGGAAAGCCCGAAGTGATGCAGGTGTCAGACGTTAACCACTTCGGTGAAACCCACGAGCACGGTTGTCGTACTGACCAAATCTAGAAACATAATCGGGGCGAACCGGGATTCGAACCCACGATCATAGATTTCTGGCGTGCCCAAGGGACGCGCTTTTCTGCACAGCGAATTGCTGCGCCTCAGACGACTCGGCCAACCGTGCCCCAAAAGGTGCAAGAAAAAACTGAGGACATTCAGGACAGTTAAAAATGAAATAAGATTAGAATCATATTTCAGTCACTGTAAAATAAGAAAATATCGAGTGCACTTTTCTAAACTAGGAGTAAGTAACCATAAATTAACTATAGAACTTGGAAGACATACAAAGCCACCCACCCCACTACATCAGAAACTATGCTCTACATGTTCAACCATTAATGAGGAAAGACACTACCTACTTTATTGTATCAAACACACGAAAGAAATAAATATACTCTTTGGAAAAGTATCCACACAAAATGTAAATGTCCACAATAATGAAAACATATTATTTCACCACATCCTCTCAAATATTTAGCCATCAACATCAATTGCATATGTTTCAAATGGATGGTGTCGAGCAATAGATTCCCGTGGATCAACCTATGACATTTTATGTATAATATCATCAAATCTGTACTGTTGATATTTTCTATGCATTAAATTATTTCTTTGTGTTTTCAGGTATGTATGTCTGTCTGTATATGTGTATGTATGAATTATGATGTGTTTTTTTCGGGAATGGATTGTTTTCTGCAATAAATATCCTTTCCAGATCCAAATAAATCAGACATAATCCTATTGTACCTATGCTGTCATACAGATCATGAAACAAATATATCCATTACAGTCCCTTCCAAGCCTATGATATTTGGCAAGTCAAGATTACTGCAGTATCAGGGTCTGTACAAATCTGCTGAAATCACAGGCCTTGTAATCATCAGTTAATCTCCAGCTGGCATTAGTGACACCACACCAAGACCTCCTGCTCCTGCTCTTCCCCTGCCACTCGAGCTCTGGCCAGACATGTGTGATGACATTGGAGACCTGGTGACATATACAACCTTACCAAGCTCCGACTGAGTCTTCACAGCCTGGAAATTGAGAGGGGGAGATACTCCAACACCCCAGTTGAAAATAGGTTCTGTCCGCACTGTGACTGCCATTCCGTAGAGGATGAAGAACACTTCCTGCTTTCATGCCCACTATATACAGACCTTAGGAGAAATCTGATGGCACTGGTAGAAATAGGCGACCCTTCCCAGACCGATAAAACAAACCTCTTAAAACACTTTATGAATCCACCAAAAGAATGGTCAAGTCTTGTTGCCCGGACTATATACCACATGTACAAGCTGAGGCCATAAGAAAATTCTATTATATTCGATCCAATTAAGTGAAATAACCAGCAATAACCTAATATACATAAATGTTTATATGATGTAAATGAAATAATGCCTCTATACAAAATGTACATCATATATACATATACCTGTCATATCTATAATTATATACATGTTCATATGTACATAGTCTGTACCCTGCCCTATGAGGGTGTTCAGTACAA